TATAATTACGATATTTTTCTATAACTATTGACATAAAAATTAACCATATAGATCACACAAAAACCAAATAAGAAAAATGTTAAAAAAAACCTAATCAAAAAGCTCGAACAAAATAAAAATACGAACAAATCTGATTGTATCAGCAAACAAACCACAAAAGAGGATGAAGCTACTGAAGGTCACCGACAAATCACAAATCAGAGTCAAGCGACTTAAAAAAAAACTATCCACGAATGCAAAATGCGTATCCAAATCAATCCAATGATCCAAAACAGAGAAGATCATCGTGATAACAAAAAAGCTTCATCTTGATTAGTTATAACGATCTTGATTAGTTATAACGATGCCAATTCAAATAAGAGTACTCGAAAATAACAAAAACGTTTCTTGATTACAAGAGTACATGATAGTCGCTCATGTGCAATCGAATACATTGATTAATACGATTGTTGAAACCTAATTACATTTCATAATTTAAAAAAAAAGTAAATTTCAATATAATATCATTATTGGTGAAAGAAAAATCAGTAACTAATAGCTAAATGACGAAATATTGACAACTATGAGGAGATAGAATCAAACTTGTAAACCAAAACCTTTATTAGACTTTTCTTTTTTAAATTTGCACATTTTTATAAACAATAACTAAAAATTATTTAGTCAAAATTCAACTTAATTACTTTGATTAAATATTGTCTAATTATTCCAAATAAGCAAGCACTGATCCAAATTTTCCCTGGTCTTCATCTGCACGCACGTGCACAAAATTTCAAACATCGAATTTAGAGAATCTAATTATACATTTTTAAATTATTATTACTAAATAAAAATTATTTATACATAATTATTAATATCATTTTTAAATACTTATATTTGGACTACTATTATCATTACATCTTATATTTGAGTCCAGCTATATTAGGTAAGGATGATAATTTTATTATAATTTGATCCTATCATATATTTCTAGATTTTTTTTTTAATTTTAGATTTAAATCGGATTTAATTTTAGGGTAAAATTATTCAATACATGATAATAGTATAATCATTTTTTATATATTCAGGGATATTTGGTATAATATCTCATCTCTCTATATTTTTCCTAATTATATCATTTCTTTATCAAATAAAAATATCATATTCAAATCAGATACAAATTTTAGATCAAATTTCGAGTTAGATAAATCTTTTCTTAACTTAAGTTAAATCAAATCTCATATAAAGAATATAACACCCGAGTCCTCAAAAATCCGACAGGTTATCATACCTAGTGCTAAGAATTATCTACCTATTTAAATTTAATTATAAATTATTAATAATAAGAGATAATTATAAAATAATATATATCCAAAAAAAATTAATTTATTAACACCATTCGTGATATAGATGCGACATAAAAAAAACTTTCCCTACCTCCCTCACAAATCACATATAATTATGTTCAAAAATAACTTATAGTCGTTTGATATAAAATGTATATACCTTTAATATTTATAATGCTTAAATATGATACTTCAAGAAATAATGATAATTTATTTTATCATTAAAATAGGAATGGACATGGGTTGGTTTTCGGTCAACTGACCTGAAAATATATATCCTCCACCCGATCCGAATCTAATCCAACTTTTTTTATATAAACTTGATCCAATCCGACCTAAAATATATAAATATATATATATATATATATATTTTTATTTAATAAAAATAAGGATCTAATTGAATATATATATATAGGCTAATTATTGTAATTATTTCTAAATATATAAGATAAATTTAATTATTTTTGGGTCGAGATTGATATTTTTCACCCTAAACCTGAACTCGACTCAACTTGAACATACACTCTAACAAAATGATTCGACACAAACCCGATTTTTTAAAAGAAAGCTTATCCAATCGGATCGATCGAGTCAAAACCCATCAGTTTTGGTTCAGTGCCCATCCCTGCATCAAAATCGTCCTATTCTTTTGATGATTTGAGTTTTGAGTTGTATGATATGCAAGTATTATACGTGCGTTATTAGTTAAAAACCACAGTTTCGGTCCAGATATGCGTGGGCTTTGTCCAAAGCTAATTTAGTCTATGATTGATATATTTCGGTTTTAAGTCGCTTCATTTATACTTTATAATATATTTTGTGAATATACTATTAAAATTTTATAATTTTGTTTCCTAGTTGAATTAATTGTAATTATAATTATACTGATTTATTATTTGTAATTATAATTAGAAAGAGCATGTTATTATTATTAAAATCGGTTATCTATCTAATATAATAAAAAATCATTATATTTTGGTAGTTAAAGAATTATTGTTATCTCTCGATATATCAAACTTAAGCATAACATATTCATGGATATGATTATATATACTCTCAAAAGAGAAACTATAAATTTATTATAACTAGAATAAAATATTTTTATTTTTCATAAATATAAAATTTTAATTGTGGTCTTTATTTATTTTTTAAAAAATATATATTTTTGCATTAATTAATAATTAAAAATATAATTGGTGGGGCCAAGGCTCCCTTTGGCCCTTGCCATGTTCTTTCCATGCATAACCTAAAAATATAACTGTTCGAATCTAAAATATCTAAAAATAATATTTATTTTTAGGGTAAAATATATAAATGGTCACTAAACTTTTCAGATGCCTGCATTTAGGTCACCAACTTTTAAAACTTGCAATACAGTCACCAAACATTTAGTTCGTTTGCAATATGGTCCCCGACGTAATGGTCATTTCACTGCCGTTAGGGTAAATTATATAAATGTACACTGAACTTTTCAGGCGCTTGCATTTAGGTCCCCAACTTTTAAAACTTGCAACACAATCATCAATTATATTCTAAACCTCAAATTCCAAAATGCTTTAATTACATTCTAAACCTCAAATTCCAAAAATACTTCAATTACATGCCCAACCCCAACCCTAAATTCATAATCCATTCTCAAAATCTGGCATAACAAACTAAACTTGAAGCATCAACCCTAAACCCACAAAACATAACCCTAAATGATAAATTTCCCCACCAATTAACCTAACATAATCAACAACATTTAGTTCATTTTGGGTTCATAATAGTAAGTGATTATGTTGGGTTTAGGATTTAAAAGTTAGATTTAACCAACTATAAGTGAACAATACTCAATTCGATTCGAAAAAATTATTTTTCGACTTGAATTGATTAAAAAAGTTTGATACAAATTGACTTTGAGTTGTAATTTCATAAACTCAACTTAAAAAAAATTAAAGTTAAAATCAAGTTGTAAATACAACTCGAATATCTCAAAATTTTTAGTAATTAGTGGATTAATTTTTAAGTTTGAGTCAAGTCTCTTGACTCTGTATGATATATGTATATCACATATGGAAAAATATGAAGAAATATATGTATTGTATATGGTTAAAAACTATTTAAATTAGAATCAAATAATATTATAATATTATAAATATTTATAATTAAATTTAAACAGAAACTCAAAAATTCAATTCAATTCGACTTGATTTAAATTTTATAAACTCAAATAAAAAAATTCGAGTCAACTATTTTATAAACTGAACTGAATTATAATAAAATAATATTATAATATTATAAATATTTATAATTAAATTTAAACAGAAACTCGAAAATTCAATTCAATTAGATTTGATTTAAATTTTATAAACTCAAATCGAAAAATTTTGAGTCAACTATTTTATAAACTGAATTGAGTATTTGGGTCCAAGATAATCACTTATTGTTCACTTATAGTTGGTTAAATTTTTTCGAAACGGTTATGTTTTGAGGGTTTAGGGTTGTTGCTTTAAAATCAGTTTGTTATGGCAAATTTTGAGAATGGATTATGAATTTGGGGTTGGTTATATAATTAAAATATTTTGGGATTTGAGGTTTAGAATGTAATTTAAGTATTTTGGATCTTGATGTTTAGAATGTAATTGATGAATGTGTTACAAGTTTTAAAAGTTGAGGGACCTAAATGCAAGCTCTGAAAAGTTTAGTGACCATTTATATAATTTACCCTAACGGTTCGTTACGTCGGGGACCATATTGCCAAAGAAATAATTATTTGGTGACTGTATTGCAAGTTTTAAAAGTTGATAGACCTAAATGCAAACATTTGAAAAGCTCAATGACCATTTATATACTTTACCCTTATTTTTATTGATTGAAACCGATTTATAAATTTATATTATCAATAACTAATATTATAATACGTAATGTTACCATCACCTTAATCTGTTAATATCAAGTTAATATATATATATATATATATATAAGGGTAAAATACATAAATGGTCTCCGACTATAAAGTACTATTTTTTGAGTCATTTGATTATTAAAGGTTATAAAATGGTCACATTACTATAAATAGTTATTTTTTGAGTCCTTCAACTATTAAAAATTACAAAATGGTTACTCGACTATTCATTATATTCCAAATACGTCATTTTCTGTTAAAAAATTAACATTCATTGAATTGAACGTTAACATATTGACTGAGATATGATAGTAGTTTGAGATTATTATATCATATTTTATCATATCTAAGTCAGCAAATTAACATACAACTCGCACTATCTTCAATTTTTTAACAAAAAAGGAAAAGTTTGGAACATAATTAATAGTTGGGTGACCATTTTATAAATTTTTAATAGTCAAGGGACTCAACAAAGCAACTCTCTATAGTTAGAGGATCATTTTGTAACGTTTAATAGTCAATAGATTCAAATAAACAGTAGCATATAATCGAGGGACTACTTATGTACTTTACCCAAAATAATATTGTTAAACATTTATATATGAAATAACCGAGAGAGAGAGAGAAAGAGAGAGAGAGAGAGAAAATATCCAATCCCTCACAAATCGTAAAATAAAATTGGAAACCCTAACTCCCAGTTTTTAACTATATAATAACGTACAAAAGCCTGCATATCTGCTCCGCCCCCAGTCTGCTCTCTGCTGCACACCTAAAGAAGCTAGAAGTATTTTTCTTGAAATCCGGAAATGTCGGACGAAGAACATCATTTTGAATCCAAGGCCGACGCCGGCGCCTCTAAAACCTACCCTCAACAGGCCGGAACCATTCGTAAGAACGGCTACCTCGTCATCAAAGGCCGCCCCTGCAAGGTCACTTCTTATCGACGTTTCTGTTTAATTTTATCCTCTAAATTGTCTTTTTGATTTATGATTTTTGGGATTTATTTATAATTTCAAGCTGAGATTTGATGGTTAGGATCTATTGCTTGTTTGTTGAATTAATTTTAATAGTTGGATAATTGATACCTTTGCATTAAGAGTCGAATATGATGTTACATTTTAGTATTTTCTTTGAATTTATATTGACTTTTGTTAAATCAAACGACAAATTAGAAGAACGGATTTAGAAACAAACTAGATTAAAACTTTAGTATTAAGAGATTAGAACTTTTCGATGAATCTTATTATTATGAGGAATCTGATGGTGTTTGTTGGAATGTGATGAATTATTGGCTGATGGGTTGATTTGCACTTTTAGCTTAACTTGACGGCTGTTCACTTGTATGGTGTTGCCAGGTTGTCGAAGTTTCGACCTCCAAGACCGGGAAGCACGGTCATGCTAAATGTCATTTTGTTGCAATTGACATATTCAATTCCAAGAAGCTGGAAGATATCGTTCCGTCTTCTCACAACTGCGATGTATGAAATTACAGCTTATTTCAGCAATTGTTATTGTTTTTTACCAATCTTCTAAACTGCAATGCATTTGCATTGGTGAATTGATTATCCCCGGTTTTAACAGGTTCCACACGTCAATCGTACTGACTACCAGTTGATCGACATTTCTGAGGATGGATTTGTAAGTTTGTTTGGTTCCATTTTTGCCTTTCCATTTTTTGTCCGGTCATCTATGTTTTTCTTCCTAACTTGTAAAATATTTCAGGTGAGTTTGCTGACTGACAGTGGAGACACTAAGGACGATCTGAGGCTTCCAACTGATGAAAACTTGTTGAAACAGGTAAATTAATTATTCTTTTACATGTTTTCGACGACTGGGTCTTTTGATATAGAGTAGCTTTCATTGTTATTCAATTTACTTATTTGAATTCTAAAAACAGCAAAGCCTTTTTCCTGTATATAAGGTTGACTACTTGTATTCCCTTCATGCCTATTGTCATCCTCGTATGGAGGACCTATTAACCTCATATCAGCCGAGTACTGGAGTTCAACTTAGGATATAAAGTATTCACACAATCTTTAACCCGCTAGCATCTTTTGCGGCTTATTTTGTGCTACTGGAGTACTGCCGAATCACCCTTGTGTCAAGGGGAGATATTGACAGCACCATTTGTGGTCTCTGTTCTTCTACACAAAGAAGAGAGATTAAAATCGTGCACGAGAGGGGTTTATGTTTTATTGATTGCAATCATTTATTCCTTAAATAGTTTCCTGGCCTCTGGATGAGCGAACACCATATTCCAATGGGGTTGTATAGTCCTATTTTCACTTGTTTAAACTAGCTGAAAGCCTGAAACTGTTTCTTCTGTTTTTGTTTCAATGCCACTCAGCATTATGTTTCTTATTTTACCCGGTGCTTACATTATATACGACTAATCTCCATTCCAAACATGAGAATGACTCACTTTTCTGTATCATGAAGATGGTAATTTAATAATTTACGTTCGTGTGGTTTGGTGAGTGCAGATCAAGGATGGTTTTGCCGAGGGGAAAGACCTGGTTGTGTCTGTTATGTCTGCAATGGGGGAAGAGCAGATCTGTGCTCTGAAGGACATTGGTCCGAAGTAGTTTCGGATTCATTTATTTACAAATCCTTAAATGGTAGTCTATATCCCTGCTGCTTTTATGTTTTTTTTAGTATTGGTAGAAAACAAAAAGGACAAACAATATTAATAGTTCCTTGTCGTGCTATGGATACTCTGTTTCTTTCAAGTTTTTTTTTTTTTTGAAGTTATAAGGTATAATTATGATTATATCATATCAGAGTATTTTATAATCAGAATTAGTCGTTATGACCTTCAATTGATCGAACTGATAAATGGAATATATTGAATCTATCTTGTAACATAATCAATTTTGTTTCCCCTTCATTTTGTTTCTATATGCTTTGCTTCTTCTCTTGCTGCGATTCGAATTTCTCGAGATTCTGGACTTGCTGAACCTCACTTTTTCTAAGGTGATTGTTACTGGTTTTTATGTTTTGGCTATATTTTGTTCATGTGGCACTATAGATGGTATGCTTCAAAGATCATTCTGTCGATCCAGAAGAAGAGAACCGTGATCTAATCGATGTGGGATCATTTTCTTCAATACGCTAATTTTGTTCTCACTTCTTGTAAAGTTCTCTCTTCTGCAACATAAATGAATTATTGTTCACGATCCCTGGTGAATTTCATGGTTTCTTCCAATGTTCTTCAATGGCAGTTCTTCATTCTTGCAAAATATATCCCTTGTCGATCCGTTAAACACCCCGTTTTGCAGCTTTTGAACAACCATCACCATCAAACAAAAGCAATCAAAATCCCTTCTGTAGCCATAGGAAAGCTACCGATTAAACAACCATCATCCACTGTTATCGATATCATAATAAGCTTTCACAGTATGGTAATGGAACAGTGCTTCAATGGCCGTCAATTCCAGATTCACAGCCACCGTCAACATCAAACCGGTTGAAAAAGCATCCCCTTTCAACAATATGCATGCCTTGACGATTGCTAAACAGCCACCATTGGATTGTTCTTCCACTGCGGATGAAACCAGAGCTAAGTTACAGACTACGATGGTATTTGCAACCAAGAATGAATAAATAAGAAACCCTGAAACCGACATGAAAACAATCCATTGAGGAGCCATTGAGAACTCGAACCATTCGAAAAGATCGAAAGTGAATGATATCAGCGACAAAGCCTCCGAGTTTGCTGATATGATACAAAGGAGATTGCAGAAATAGGTGACAAAGAGAGGTTTGTAGAGGGAAATGGTTGAAGCAAAACCTGGTTTCTGTTGGTTTAGAGTTACGAAAACGGAGGACTTGGCGACGAGGAAGGAAGTAAAAGCGAAGGGAAGAGAGAAGATCTACAAGTAAATGGTTTGGGAAATCTTGGAACTGAAGACTGTAAAGAACTGTGATGAAACAGGGAAGCCTAAAGCATGGAAAACCGCCATGAGACGAGTGCAAATCGATGGCAAAACAATGGATGACGACGGAGCAAAGAGATGAGAAAGAAGAACCGAGGATGCATAAGGGAAAGCAAGAATTGCAGCCATTGCTGTTAAGTACTGATAGCTTTGAAGGAACTTGTAGATTGATGTTCTTAAGATTTTGCTTGCTTTCTCCATTTGAGTACCTTTGTGGCACTTGTCTTCCATTGCTCTATACCCTAAAACTATATATACAAATCCAAGCGCTTAATCTTTTCGATAAAAGAAAGGATTAGTTAAGATCAAATTCAAAATCTAATAATCAATTAAGATTTAATTCATTAACAATGTACTTAACTTGACATGGTGCACTTCTTGCACATATTGTTGAGTAGAGGCTAAGATTGATGCTTTGCTTTGAAGAGAACAAATGATCATTACAAAAGAAAAAGTAATCTTAAATACCAAATCTTTTATCTTATTTATGGTTCCAACAAGTTTCATCTAACTATATTCATTCATATACATCGAATATGGGAAGGGATCTTATTATTGAATTTTAAAAATGTAAGGACTAAATAAATATTTAAACTAAAATTTTGAGAGGTAAAACCTAATTGTCTAATTATTAAACATACATGGACCTAAATTATCATTCGACCAAAAAAATTAGAAACACAGTCCCTTCAAGCCGAGATCATCCTTCATGCCGAGATGCCAGTGTTTCAGATGATACGACAAGGTAAACATTGTCAAGAAACTTACTTCTTCCATGAAAAACTGAGACCATACTCCACGGGTGGAAGCAGTCATTCAGGCAATGTATCGAGAATGGCTCTGAAATGATGACAATGGGACGACCAGCTGAGAAAGATATCAAAAGTGAATGATGAACCTAAGGTTTCGGCAGTTACTGAATCTTCTCTAATTGATATTAGTTTGAACTGAAAGGTTCTGCTATAGAAGGCAACAGTTAAGTCAGTCAGAGGTAAGTCGGTGTCTCTTCCCATAATCAGCATCTCTAGATCTTGAGCGATGTTCCTCCTCCTGAGATAAGTACAACTTGCTGTGTGTCCTTGATGATCGTCCCCTATCCCAATCATTACTATGCCCAGGCTCACGGTCCCTGTACTTATGGTGATCTGCATACCTGTCTTTGTCTTCCCTATATCGGTCCTGATCCCTCTCTCGATCACGTTCCCTATCAAGGTTTCAGTCATGATCTCGAGTGCGATCCTGATCCCTGTGCGCTCCCTATCACGTTCTCGACCAATGTCTCTATCATCCTGGTGCCGTCTTTCTGGCCAATCATGACCATGGCTCGCATCCTTCTCACCAGTCATGTCTCTATCATATCCTGGTTAGAGCACCAGGAAAGCCTCCATATCCGCCCATTCTTCCCATAGCTCCACCAAAAGCAGGACCAAAGCCTTGACCCATCATAGTTTGGGAATGCATGAGGTGTGGCGCTACACCAATACCTTGTGCGAAACCATTTCCCATGATTCCTCTACCGCCCATCCCACCAGCCCTGTTCCTCATAGGACCAACTGGCCCTCCATTTCCCATCCCCTGAGCATTGCCTCTTCCCATGTTCCCTCTCCCATAACCTATATAATAATCTCCACCTTGATAATTCCCACCAGTTTGAATGTTAATGCCAATAGGCTTGCCTCCAGCATCGTTACGGCCCCTCCCAGCTTGTGAAAGAGCATACTGTGCCATCTGTTGGTTCCGATTTAATCGAGCCTCTCCCATTTTCTTAACAGTAAATGGTGATGCAAAGGCAACAACACAAGGCCTTCCATTAAACACATGCCCGTTCATTCCCTCCTTACAAGCTGCGTCTGCAGCTGGATCATAAAACTCAACCTGACAATATCCTTTTGACTTCCCAATTGCTTTCTCGTCAAAAAACTTCACTTCCTTCACGGGCTCATACTTGCACAACTCTGACTCCAGTTTGGCATCTGTTGTCCACCAATGCAAATCCCCAACAAACAATATCGTCCCACCACCACTTCCACCCCCACTTGCACCAACCCCAGGAGCAGAATCACGAACAACACTAGCCACGCCCACATTTCCAACACCATTCCCAATCATAGGACCACTGCCACCACCACCACCACCACCACCGTTCACTTTCACATTCCCGGCTCCTACTACTATTTGCCTCATCAAACCCTCATTCTCAATGCCCCCCACATTCCCTACACCTTGCCCCTGCTGTCCCATACCACTCACACCAGTTAAACTATTGTAGTTATTATTACTACTCTGGTCTACAGCCATATCATTCAACTTACTTGACACTTGTGCTAATTCAACCTGAAGCCCACTTCCAAGTTCCATCACCCCCGTTACCCGCATTAGGTAACCCTTGACTCTCATGAGAAACCATAGCATCTCCTCTTTCAACACCATCTGCAACCCTGGGATTTGAAACACCAGATTCAGGTGCACCCATCGGTGACACACCAACTTTCCCACAAAAATTATTATTATTATTAACAACAACATTATCATTCTGATTAGCATTATCCTTAGTTTCCTCATTTCTAAACACTAAATCTTCGTTTTTTCTTAAAGAATGAAGAAACCCTTCAACAACATTAACACCGTTATAAAGATCCTCATAATCATCATCTTCTTTTCCTAGAAAACCATCGTCAGCAACAGCTGAGATTGCTTCGTTTCTATGCATCAGTTCCATCTGATCCCCTCCCTCTCCCTCATCCATATTTCCCCCTCAAATTTCCCAAAATAGTTATATTTCTCCTCAACCAATTGCAAAGCTTGTAACTTTCCCCCTGATTACTGGGAATAAACAAGAGAAAGCCTAAATTTAATGAAATTCTATCATGAATTAATTGAAACTCATTAATGAGATAAGCGCGACTTGCTGTGTGTCCTTGATGACCGTCCCCTATCTAATCATTAAATTGAATGAAAAGATGAATTATAATAAATTTATTTTACACATAGATAAACATTCTTAGATTCGTTTAGTGTTTTATATTATTGTTATTATTATTATCGCTTGCATTTATTTCTTATTTTTTATTCGAAAACTAAAATGTGATTTTTTTCTTTCTTTTAAAATTTAAGTAGTAGCCTCTAAATCACTGGCGGATGTATGGTGATTTCAGGATGGAGATATATTCATTTTTGAAATCTGAATTTTTTTATGTTAGTTATTTATTTTATTAAAGGCGTCCACCTTAAAATTTTATTTGTGCCCTTTGAAATTTGAATATTTTACTTTTTACGTTAGTTATTCATTTTATTAAAAGTGTCTACCCGGAATTTTATTTGTGTATACTTCATTCGAAATTTTTTTATTATTAATATATATGTGCTCATCCTAAAAAATATTTTTATACCGCGACTGCTCTAAATTGTACCATGAAGGTTCTCCGAACATGTTACATGTAAACTCTCGCATGAATTCATGTATTTCAAGTGTGATCTTTTTTTAGAAGATTTAAATACTATAAAAATCCTTAATTTATAGTATTTTTTATTAAATAAGCACTGATATTGTTGAATTATTTTAATTATCATAACTGTTTGTTTAAGTTAAAATAATAATAAAATCTTTAAACAATACTTTTATCTAGATAAAGTTTTATATTCTTAAGGTTCTTAACCTTGAGGTCGTGGGATCGAGTCCCACAGAGGACATTTCATAATTCGGAGGTCTTCTACGGAAGCTGCTCTCAACCTGGTGTTGGGGGCAACATACTATCTTACCTCCCCTTACCCCATTACATATGGGAACAAGGGACAACCATTTTTTTTTATTCTTAAGGTGTCCAAATAAAAATGTTATTTTTAATATTTTTATTAATTAATGTATTCCACATTATTTTGTGGTTGCATGCTAAAATCTATAAATATCGCGCAGACAATAGTGCTCAAATACGAGCCACATAACATGCCATCCTTTACGGTTTAAACAACTTTTTGGGTCATAATCATTTATTTAGGCATGAAAGAAAAACTAAGACTTATTTGAAGATTAAAAGTTTATTATAAAATTACTTGATACATTAATGACAAATGTTTTTCTTCGGAAATTAAAATAGCTTGTCGAAAAAAAATATTAATCTATCAAATAATATCCCTTATAATAAACAATTCAAGTGCAGATCTATCTAATAATAAGTGTACCATATGATATGTCACAGGACCCTAAATTTTAAGAGCCCCACACATAAATACCATTTAAGTCTGTATATATATAATATTTGTGCCCTAACGATATTTTCGTATGAAGAAAAAAAAATTAAAATTTTTGTTTAGTTCTCGAAAAAATAGTAGAGAAAGTTATAAACATAGACTTTGATAATATCTTTAATCATTTTTTATGATGAAATTTGGTAAAAAAACCTTTGTATATCCCTCGTAATTTTAAATTTGATATACTAATCTTTATTATAAAATATTTTAAGTGTCTCGTTTTAAAAAGTAACACGTGATCGGACTATCATTTGAGAAATTAGGGTCTCATATTTTAAGTGTAATAAAAGAAAGTTGTTTAACACCAAAACTTAGACGCATGGAAGACAAAAGAAAAACGGTTTGATATTCCATCAAATTTGCTCAAATTAGGCTCACACAAACACACACAAAAGAAGCATATTACAAACACATGCATATTCTATGAAACAGTGGGGCATATAGAACAACCAGAGGTGAGACAAGCCCTAATGAATGAGCTTAAAATACAGGATAAGTAATATGGCAAGAACAAGGACTCCAGTTACGCCCCACATTATCATTTTGTTCCTGTTCATCCTTCTTGATATGCTTGTCAGCAGCTTCTTGCTCTTGCTAATGTTGTCATCTACTTCATGGAGCTGTCAAAACGTAAGATGCAATGCGGTTAGACATTTACGTTACTCGAATTCGGGTGCAAGCGTCAGATACGAGTATGTGACAGTTTAAATATGTGTTACTATGAGTGTTGAACACAGGTACTTGAAGTAAAATGAAAAAATCGAAGCACCACATAAGGTTACGTCTCAGGTGTGAGCAGGACATGTGTGTTTAACAGTGATACAAAAATGAAGAAATCGAGCAACTTAAGCTCATTCGAAAGACGAAGAACACCATTTCGAAACTAAGATCGGATGAAAAACAAACCGTGGTATGGGCATTAAGGAGAGATTGACGTTGTTGATGCAAATCCTGTAGGATTGAGACACCTAGCTCTTCTGTTTCCAGCATTGTTTTTCTGCTTTCCTTAATTCTTTCAGTAGATTGGTTTAATCTCTCTGTCGACATCAATAATCTGCCTTTTTGATCCGCAGCAGAGTCCTATGCCACCATTCACCGATCAGTATCTATAACAAAATGTCCGTATGATGGTCGTGTTAAAGAAGATGCAAACGAAGAACATTAACAGAAATAGGAAACTAGGATTGTTATCAATGAACAATCGGAGAGATGCGTTCAAGCACTTTTAAACCTGCAAATTACGGTTTCAGCTCACAGTTTATGATAAGGACAGTGAAGGTGATCAATCATGTGAAGCAATAAGATAATAGAAAAGAGGAGGACAGTTTATGATGGCCGTTTAGATAAAAGAGAGTGGTTTCGGTTACCATCATTGTATCTGCCCGTCCTGATCCCAACAACTCGTCACGATCATCCTGATATGGATCAGTTGAAATGACTCTTTTAACATCAGTCTTCAAGTTGCTCAGGTCATTTTTGTATTCTCTTAACTTAGCAAGAAGTGTTGCCTTTATGCTTGGCTGCAAACTCCTTGCTTCAAGGTCCATTTTCCTAATCTGGAACGATTCCGAAAAAGGATCAAATTGAAAACCCAGGAAAGTAGAAAGAAACAAAAATATTAGCCACGGAAAACGGATTCCAACACTACCAGAGCATCAGCATCATCTAGTCCTGCTTGTATTTCAGAAAGTTTCTGCTTTTTCTGCTCTGTAAATCGAGAAAAACAAGAAACCGGTTAAGTAATCTCTGAACCAATCTTTCTAGATACATATAAATAGTTCGCTTGCACATGTCGCAAAACACCAGATAATTCATTTGCTCATGTTAATACGTTGCCTGCATTTTAAAATGCAGTATTTCATCTGAATCTACCTACCCAAAAAACCCTATAGATAAAGTGGCTATAATGTCAAAATACCCTTATAATAACATTTTACCCGTTGAGCAGAAACTCAAGCATTTAGAACTAGAGTGCATTTAGATTTCCACGGATTTCCCAGCACATCTGCTGCAGGAAATCCAACGTCTCAATCGAAGCTAAATGCAAGCATATCCCAATTTCTTCCTACTCGATAGCATAAACAAAATCAACAGAATAAGTTGAATATGTACACTCGTACAAATGAAGCGTCATAGAACCCAGTCATGCCCAACTTTGAATCAAGTAATAATAAAAATAACTTTAAACAAAAGAACAACAAAATGTATTATTTCTAGTTTTATACGGAATAGGTTCTCATTTCAGAGTGTTCTTTTTATTAGTGTTACTTCGGGTGTTAATAATCTTATGCAAAACCAATATCATCTGGTTCATTGATGATACATAAAATTATACATAGTTAGTACATAAAAATTATACGTCCTATTTTCACTTGTTTTGTGCTATAATTTAAAGATAATATTAAATCAGAAACTTAAATTTTGAAAGATGAATCCGGATTTTAAAATAATGAAGTTATATGATCAAACACACAAATGCAATATATATATATATATATACCTATTTAATGATGAATTTGTAAGACTTATTAATATCTGCAAATTAGAAGTTCATATTCATTTATATCGTATACGCATAATCAGGGATATACGAACTTAAAGTTGATTAACTAAAATTCTAGGGGGGCAAAATAAGATCACGGAGAACAGATTTTAATAGAAAATACATAGAAAAAATTTAAAATATATAGTAATTTTAAATTTTCAGGAACTACTTCCACCCGACCCCCTGATCCTGCTCATAATCATATTAAATTCTAGTTGATTCAAATTCTATTTCATAATTTTTATTCTCAACGAATAAAACCTAAATCCAAAATTACATTCATTAAAAATAATGCAAAAACAAACGTTAAACAAGATAGAGCTTTGATCTCCCTAAGAATCCAAACAATAAACACAAATCATGATCGATCAAGGAAGAGATCAATGAGTGGATTAAAACGGCACCGTAAGAGTTTACCTCCATTAAGAACGGCGGCGGAGGCACAGCTTCGCGTCAAATCTGCGGAGAGCTCGCAGTACTGGCGTTCATAACCGTCGAACACCTCACTCATTTTGGCTTCTTCCCCAATCTCTCACGCTCGCCCACCTACATTCGTCCAAGATTTTTTTCCTAAAACAAATAAACAAATAGTTGCAGAGGAAAACGAATAGGAAATAGAATCAACGGAGATACACATACCGGAATCGCGCGGGAGAGATCAACGAATAATTATTAGAGAAAAAGGGAATTGAGAGGAGGACGGAATTAATGATCCTTTTGGCATGAAATGTAACATAAAACATGCAAATGTAATACTATTGTAATTTCAGAACGAAAGGTCGCTAATGCCCTTGACTTTCACTTCAAATTACCTATAAATAAACCACGTGTAATTATTTTTTTACTCCATAAAATATATAAAAAAATATCTTATATTTTTATGCCGTTGAAAATATATTGTATTTGAGTTATGATAAATTCAGTTATTAATGAATTATTTTTGTTATATTATTCCATTATCATAAGAGATATATTAAGGTAAATAGAGACAATCGTTCTTTTGAAAATTTTAAATTTTTTCATATTTAAATTTTTTAATAAATATTTATTTACAATCTGTTTTCACCCTCTAAAATTTTATAAATTTATTATCTTCTAAAATTTTATAAATACATCTAACATAAAATCATGATTTGTCCTAAGTTATCATCCGTTCTAAGACTTTATCTTGATTAATCATTTGACTAATCTAGACCGATCTGCAGCGTGCAATTAAATTTGATGGGTGAATTTCCCAATAAAGATTTTCGAACATATGTATAAAGGTGAAACAAAATTTGAATAATTTATGATGTTAAAATCAAATAAGGGAGACAGTAAATAAACCAAATATTAGTCACACTTAGGTGGTGTTTGTTTTTACAGAGGTAAAAGGTATGCAGTCTGCGAACCACATCTGCAGGCATCTGCAGCAGAAGAGGTGAACCAAAAGTCTGTAGTCTGCAAGAAGAAAATTGTTTGTTTTTTAACGTCTGCAGACTGCTAAAATAAACTGAAATATAAATAAACTAATTTTTTAAACTTAAAAGAGTTTTGCAATACTGAGATTTAAATAATTTTAGTTTTACAATACTGAAATTTAAATAATTCATACAACTACAATAATAATTTTTTTAGAAAAACAAACACCACCTTATTAATTCTATTATAAGTCTCACATAATCACATGTATTATTAGTTTTATAAGTTTTATAGAATAAAATTTATAAATGATCATTAAATTATATGATTTTTTAAACATGCAATTATGTAATACTTTAAATTTTTTTAAATATATATTCATAATTTATTTTTATAATTATATGATATTTTTAGAAAATATTTTTTTAATTTATCAAATTATTTTATAATTATTTTTTATTTAATTATGATTATATTTTAAAATTTTAAAAACATAATTTATAATTTTTTATATTTTAAAATCTTAATTATCAAACAATGAAATCATTTTTTATTAAACAATGTAGTTTAAATACTTACATTTTGTATAAAAAGTTTAAATAAAATTTAAAAATAACAAATCCAAAAAAATATTATATTTATACTTAAATCAAAATAATTAAAATAAATATAAAATTTTAATAATATATAAAATAATTTATATGATATAAAATTAAATATCTATAATATAACATTAAAAAATTAATATTTAATTTATTTAAAAAATATATATTAAAATTAATATCTATAATATAATATTAAAAATAATATTTAATTTATTTAAAAAATTAATATTAAAATTAAAATCAAATATAATATAAAATTAAATATAAAACATCTTTGAAGAGATTAAAATACATCTACAAACATAAAATCACGTCTGTGCCGCGTAGTCTATACGCACGTTAGAATAACTTCTATCTTCTAAAAAAATAAAATATACTCCCTATTTCCCTATAGACTAAAACGGTTCGCCATCTATTTGCCGGTCTTCATCTTCATCTTCCTCGTATGATGTTGAAATTGAAGAAGCCATTAATGGATCAATTTTTAAGCTACAAGTTTATGGCGTTCTACCAATACTTCATTCATTTCAGCAATCTGGTTCAGCAACCCCACAATTTTCTGCACAATATACTACAACTGGATTCAAATTTGACAAAAAAAAAATGCCACTAACATTTCGAACAAGCATTTCAACAAACATCTTTCAAAAAAAGAAAAAGCATTTCAACAAACACCTTTACCTCATCTTTCTCCTTTATGATCATCCTCAACCGTGCCACGCTTTCATTCCGCCGCCTCAGCCGCCATATCCGCTTGCACAACCACCACAACAGCACCATCGTTGCGAAGTCAATAACGCCTCGGAAAGACCGAAACGCCTTCCCAATTGTTCCGTTTCTGTAACCGAAATGGCTAGCGAGGCCAAAGATCATAGCTCGCAAAATCCCGACCCCTATTCCCAGCCATTATCCGATCCCACGACCACCGGATGAAGAAACAAATCCGCTGGCGTCCGGAGGCGGTGGAAGCGTCAAATCGGAAGGTGGGTTCTGTTGCGGTTGTTGGATTTGACGGTGCAGATTTTCGTGGTCGACGGGAGGGAAAACGGAGAGGTCGGTGTGGGAAACGGAGTCTCTGATCACCACCATCGACCACTGCTGTTTGATTAGAGGATTGGGTTTCGATTGTGGTGATCGCTGGAGTTGAAATTTTCCCACTCGAATAGTAAGCTTTCTAGAATCCTATTTTTTTCCACCATTCCCGAAAGCTTGAAAGACGACGAATCTGAAGAAGCACTGATGCATCTGGTGGTTTCGGCTCGTCAAACTCTAAACTGCATTTTATAAGCCCAATTCTCCACCTTTGGATTTGGAGGAAGGATCTTCGTCGGCAAAATTGGCCCAATAGATTAGGCCCGTAAAAAAGGCCCATTAGGCTATTTTTAAAATTATTTTGGGATCTGTGACATTTACGACCGTGAACGTGGGCATGACGAGTTTTAATAAAATATAATTTTTATTGAAACTTTTCACTCTGACGTGATAAATTTTAATAAAAAAATTATATTTTTTTAGAATTTGTCACATTGACATGACGAACTTGAATAAAAAATATTATTTAGATAAATTCGTCATGTGGATGTGATAAATTTTTTTTATTATGTAACATTTATAGTAGATATCAAATTAATTTTGAGATGATCTGATGAATCAACTTTCTTACTCGTCTGGTCTATATTGGAGTATTGGACCAATTTTGCCATCTTCGTTTTCTTATGCCTTAGTGGGCTATTTTCACATCTCTGAAATTGGCCCTTCTGCTCCAACAAAAATTAATTTAGGGTAAAGTATAGTAATGGTCACTGAACATTTCTGAAGCTTGCATTTAGGTCCCCCAACTTTTAAAACTTGCAATACAGTCCCCCAACATTTATTCCGTTTGCAATATGGTCCCCCAACTTAAACCACCGTTAGAAATTAGGGTAAATTATATAAAAGGTTATTTAACTTTTCAGACACTTGAATTTAGGTCCTCCAACTTTTAAAACTTGTAAAACAGTCCTCAATTTCATTCTAAACCCCAATTTCCAAAGTAATTCAATTTCATTCTAAACCCTAAATTCCAAAATAATTCAATTATGTCAGATTTATTATTATTTAATTTCATCTTATTTCATGTGATACGTATTTTTTTATATAAATATAATAGTATAATTCTTATCTGTTGAAGAAATTTTTTAATTAAAAAAAGTAGTTAGGATATAGAAGAGGTTGAAAATAATTCGAATTTTAAATTTATAAAATGTTATTTTGACGTATAAACAAAAGTGTAAACTACTAGGTTGACAACTTAACTATCTAGCCTTTTTTACTTTTGTCATCGATCTTTTAAATTTATCAATCATACAACATAATTATTTAACTGTTTCAACTAAGCCACTAGTCGTTACCAATTGATACAAATGATAAAGTGGCAGTTAAAAGGAATTGACATTATTATACATTCAGTCTTTATTATTTATATAATCAATTTGGTCCTAAATTAAATAGAATTTAATAAATTAATCATTTAATTAGGATCTAACATGTGTTAGCACATGATCATGACACGTGTCATTGGTGACACATGTCACCACCTAATTATTTATATATGCTATCAATTTGGTCCTAAATTAAATAAAATTTAATAAATTAATCATTTAACCAGGATCTGACATGTGTTAACACATGATCATGATATATGTTATTGGTGACACATGTCACCACCTAATTAGAAGAAAATTAAGTTACAAAGAAGTAAAATTTGGGTCTTGGGCAAACTCAAACCTGAGTCACGCAAATGAAAGATACATGGTAGAGCCACTAAACTAACACCATCGTTTGTGTTAAGAGATATGCAATAATACATATACTAATAGTATGACCAATGCTAGAAAAAAAGAATATAATGGAAAATGGAAATAATGAGATTTGAACTTCGGCAAAAAATTTGAAAGCAATAAATGATGGGAAAATATTATATTTTTTTACAATAAAAAATATTATATTTGATAAATTGTTTGATAGATTTAATATATTTTTTAAATATTAGTTGATACAATATTTTAAAAGAATAAATTTAAGATTTATATATTTTTAAACTAAATTTAATAATTATATTTTTCATATTTATAATTCATGATTATATATATATAATCTTAAGTTGAGTATTTCTAATATAATTAATAATTTTAATTTCTTATTAAAAATAAAATATTCAAAAAATATAAACGATTCATACATTAATATATGAATATATTTTTTTATTTATACATCTAAATATAAATATACATTTATATAAATATATTTTTATTCGTATATTGAAATATTTTGATTAAAATATAAACATATTTTAAATACTAGTTTATACAAGAAAAATAAAATATATCAAAAATATAAATGATTCATACATTTAAATATAAATTGAATCATTTATATTTTCTATACATCTATATTTAATAAGAAAATAAAATTATTGGGGGACTATTTTGCAAGTTTTAAAAGTTGGGGACCTAACTTCAAGTGCCTGAAAAGTTCTATGACCGTTTATATAATTTACCCTAATTTTCTAACAGTGATTTAAGTTGGGGGACCATATTGCAAACGGAATAAATGTTGGGGGACTGTATTGCAAGTTTTAAAAGTTAGAGGACCTAAATGCAAGCTTCAGAAATATTCAGTGACCATTACTATGCTTTACCCTTAATTTTATTAAGAAAAAAATGTTTAAACTTATAATTAGAATAATAAACTAAACATATAATTAAGATATTATTAAGACAAAAACTGATCACTTAAGGTCATATATGGACCATACAATGAAAAGGTGAAAAACCGACTCAAAAAACCTCGAACATGTAAATATGAACAGATCTGACTACTATAACAAACGAGTCACAACAGGAGATTAAACTATTTAAAGACCACCGAAAAATACAAATCATAACTGATTTTCGTGAGAAAATCTTCTACGAACAAATATTACGTATCCAAATCTAATTCGATAGTCCAAAACAAAGAAAATCAATGGGATAATAAATGAGTATCATCCTGATTAATCGTATCAACATCAAGTCTAACCAACGAACGAAAAAATAAAACAGAAAAAAAATGTACAGTAACATGTACGGAAACAATCTAAAACTCGATTAAATTCGCCTTCCCGACAACTAAATTCTACTAACTAGAATGTATAACTAACTTTTTCGCCACTAGACGGATACCGGCGCTTTGCTGGTAATCGAAAGTATCCAAGCCGAAAAATGCATCCACGGAGATTCCTGTTCTAATCATGTTGCTGAGTTCATCGGCGTTGAATTCATTGAATTCGAGTTTCTTCACGTTACCGGAGTAGTCCTTCCGATGTATCTCCGTGCCATATTGGGCGGTGTCACCGTTGACGATAGTAGGGATGCTGAAAGGAAAGAGTCCAAAGAAACTATGAACTGTTGAATCATGAGAACGAAAGGAAACGAAAATGCACCGAGTTATGAAAACTTACTGCAGTCTTGCAGTCGGGGTGTTGATGTAATTGTAATTTCGGATCACGACATGCCTCCAATCAGAACTGCTTCCACAACCGACGAAAATTTCCTTTGCAGCAGCATCGCAGGCATCCAGAATGCCACATAAGATCGGTGAAGTATCGACCATGAAACTCAAACGTGGCCGACCTGCCTGATCGAGAAACTTTTTACTGATTCCAAATCGCACTCTTAAACAAGAACAAAAGAGCTGCAAAGCAACATTCTTGTGTAACAATTTTATTCGGTGAGTGCCACGATACTGCGGAACTGAAGATGCACTGATGGAAGTTATAGAAACTTCATTCGGCTCTAGAAATCCTGCATATCCGCTACAACCTTCAACAACAGCCGTTGCCGGTGAAACATCGGGAGACTGTAGCTCAGGTTTTTCTTCTGTGACATCTAGTTCAAGGGCCTCTGTTTTTACTTCGTTATTGAGGAGAGACGTATCAAATGGACCGGGTTGTGCTGGACTAGTTACATCGGGAGACTGTGGCTCGGGTTTTTCTTCAGTGACGCCTAATTTAAAGGCCTCTGTTTTTATTTCGTTTTTGAGTCGAGACATGTCAAAAGGATCAGTTTGAGCCGGACTAGTCACATCTGAATTCACCTCTCCAGTGTTACAAGCTAGAAGAGAGACAATATGATGTTGTTCACCATCTTCAAGATCTGTTGGAGATAAAGCTGGAACATATTTAGAAGATGAACACGAAGAAAGGATGCACAAGTCGGGATTTTGATTCGGTAAGTTGTTGTCGACTGATGATGGATATGAGGCATAAGGGGTATAAAACTCTCGGGCGTTATCAATGGTAGAGGCTGGAGAAGGTGTCTCGAAAGATAACTTGCTTTTAATACTACTTCTTGTCGTAGGTCCCGGGGAAACTACAATATCTGGTGTTAGTATATCCGGGAGGCTTGACTCCTGTAGATAAATATGATTTATGGTCAAACTTCGGATAATTAATATTACAAAACTAGCCCATTTAACCATCTCGAAGATAGATAGCATCGTCGACTAGTAGAGCACCAAAGCATTCCAAGACCAACTCAAAATCAAATACATACAAAAGAATGCATGCACTTCTACGTCCATATTATAGTACATTTGCCATATTAAACAGACACAACAAAATATACAATGAGATTCAAACTCGGCCATTTCTTTTTCTTTTCGTTTTTTTTTTCAGGCTCCGATATATGAATCGATAATAAATGGCAGTGCACAGATATTGAAGTAGTTTACTTATACCACTAGCATGAATCCAAAAAAATGCAAGGCCTACACAATCAGCACTGACAATAAGATGAGCACGAGTCAAAAGAAAGGAAAACGTTGTCATAAAGAAAATCAGCTTCCTTTTCGATAGGAAAGAGGACTAGCAAAAGTTCTTAAGACTGATTCGATAACTTATAACTACACGGAAAATAATAACAAAGGTGCGGATTATTATTCAAACAAGTAACATGCGATGATCAAAAGAGCGGCAGCAGTATAAAGAGGAACGAAACTTGCTAGAGGATCGTAAATTCTCACTTCCAATCAAAGAGATTATCCACATACCATATGAATAAAGCCCTATTTGATCAAATAGTTAAGACAATTTGAAACACATACCTCCTCAATGTAAGTAAAAAACGAGGCACATCCCTCGGAACAAGAATAGGGCTACCGTATTTGACACACTTAAAACTACCATACCAGGAATAAAACGGTGGCACAGTACTTGAGAACTTCAAGATTCATGCGGACATCATCCAAGCTCCTGAATAATCGTGACAAAAAGTTCATCTCAAGGCTACATAAATTGCCACAACTATCATAGGTGAAAAGAGTTTGGATTCATCATTGACTTACCTGTGTTTCTGCTTCCCAAGCTCAAAATAGTTTGCAAGGGTGTCCATCTGCATACCAGTGCATAAACACGCATCAGCCAAAACTTCGTATCAACCCTAAAACTTAAAACGCGTTACTTAGCAGTGAATTACACACTGCTAAGAAATCAAATAATTAAGCAAGAATCTCAAAAGTGTTGGGCACTTGAGCTCATAAAGAGCATATATTGCAGCAGAATTTCCATGGTCCCCATGACCAAGTAAGCAAGATTAGACTACGGCGTAATTGACGATATGCCACTGAAGACGGTACATAACACAATTTTCAATCCAAAAGACAGCTTTTGTGTTTAAAACAGTAAAGTCCGGTGGGCCGAAACAGGCAACACCTTGCAAGTTAACATTAGCTGTTTGAATCAAAGTTTTACAAGCTCTGACAAGATAAACATCCATACATCATCCAAAAGAAGAAGAAAAAAACCCAAACTTCTGTACTTCACTGAATTCAGTTTCCACAATTTTGTTCATAAAAATTTACTACAAAGAAAAGATTTTTAGTACGAATTAAACATACCTTCATATTACCAGCTCTCTTACCAAATCTCTGAGACAACAACGTCAATGAATCAATAATTCCCTTAGGCTCCGGCGCCGGCCTACCAATCTTCTCGAAAGCTTCCCTTATCCTCAAGCAATCAAACTTCACTATATTATGACCCGCCCACACCCTTCCTGCAAAACATACATTTACTCTTAAAAACTAAAATAATTTTAAAAAAATGAAGAAAAATGAGACTTTTTTTAGTGTGAGCAACGGACCTTGGAGGATATCGTGAACTTGGTCGGCGATTTCGGAAAAGGAAGGTGCTTTAGCGACGTCGTTTCCGGAGATACCGTTGCAGCGAACGGAGTGGAGGGAAATGGAAGAGAGGTCGTCGGGTCGGACAAGGGAGGCGAAGCTCTTGAGCTCCACCAGCCTTTTGGGGCAAACTAAAATAGCTCCGAATTCGATAATTGAGAAGCCTTCACCGCGCCGTCGTGGGATGGTGGTTTCCAAATCGAAGAAACATATTTCCGACCTGTCGCCGGTGGCCATTGGATCCATCTCGAAGAAGGAAAAAAAGGCAGAAGCAAGTCGTTTCGTACCGTGTAAGTTTCAAGGGATGTGGTATCGGTGTCGTACAGATTTAGGCTTTTTGACTTCTAATTGGTTAAACTACAAATATCATCACTCAAGTATGAATATATTCTTATTTTGATTATTAAATTTAAAATTCTTAATTTAATCATTTAATTTATTTTATATCTTTCTATTAAATCATAAATAACGCAATAACATGACAGTTTATATCAAAATAATATTATCATTTTATCCCTATTAAAATTTGATTAATTTAATTTTTATAAAGTTTTTAAATTAATGAAATTTTAGATTTTTAAACAATTTGATTTAATAAAAAATTATAAGCTCACAGTAACCATGTAATTGTTTTAACGTTTGATTAATATCCTTGTAATGTTGTCTTACAATGCTGATACCACAACAGCATACACTAGTTTTAGCCTCTAACAACAAATTTAACCTAGTTTTAATGGCATTAATCTAAGAGACTTTCTTCTGTTTCTTGTCTTGCCGCTCCTCGATTCCGGCTTTGATCTTCGCGAGCGTAAAAGCCGGAATACGGTTCGTATCTGAACAGGGATTGAGCATGAAAGGTAGAAGATGCTCCACCAACCTCGAGCAAAGAAAAGAAAGGAGCCGTCAGAGTGGCTTGAGCAAGATTGTCCAATAGCGCTGGTGCTCGTTTATGGTTACGGGACAAAAATATATTAATGAGTGGTCTTGAAAGAGTTCAAGAAGATAAGATGGAAGCGAAACGACAATTGCTCACCTCGAACACTCCATGGCCGAGAAACTTTCCGGTCAAACAGAGCACTCGAGCAACCAGCACAACCTGAAAGGAAACAACGGAGTTGCAACTTCAAGGAAATTACTATTTTAACTACTAAAGAGATTAAAAAAAAAGGCGACGTAAAAACAAGTCCACTGGCCCATGCAGAATTCGTACCTACGACCTTCGCGTTATTAGCAAAGGCTCTAACCAACTAAACCAACTAAGCTAATAAGCCAATTGTTTGGTGTTCAAAATTAAAATTATAAAACAAATAAATCTTTCCCTCCCAAAACATGATAAATGAACATCAGCACAGCACCATAAATCTGTGTTTCTTTATAGGCTCTTTAGCAATGAACTCGCCGGCTTATACTCGTCCCAAAACACATATTTTGCTTTTGATATCCGCGCAATGTTGTTGACGGCGTGCATGTGAGAGCTGAACGTTTCTCAACGAACGACATGCATCGCGAATCAACGTTTCCAAACACTACAAAACTATGTTCAACCCTATATCAATCATAAAATGTCTATGCCGACAAAATTTAGAGAATTTTCGACGTGAATTTCCGTCACTAATACTCCTTCCAACGAAATAGTTTTAGTGACGAAAAAGCTATTTCAAACTTTCGGTGTGCATGGCAGCATGTGGATCTTGCTACGTACATAAATGTGTCTAGTCATTCATTTTTTTTTTCCTTTGAATGTAAGTGACATGCACACAATAACACGTTTAATCATCTCTATATTTTCTCAAAATGTATCATTTCAATAAATAATCAATAAACTATCGAACATAAAAAAGGCCATCAAAAAGGGAAAGCAAAGAGCCTAAAGAACGAGGTGCTACACTTCAAATCTTATTCGGTACACAGAAAATCAGAAAACATTTCTTTCTTACATGCAGCGCAAAAACCGTTCGTGGAGTTGAAAATTTTTGGCTGAGTTTCCTATAAATATCATATCCGCAATCTTTCTTATATATTTTATTCGTTTTCCGTTTAAGCCGGCGTTCTCTATATTCAGATATCAAAAGGTTCTTTTTCCGTTTTACATTTGATGCTCATCTGGACCTATGATTGTTGATATCTAAACTATTGGTTTTGTTTGTTCGTTCAAAAGATAATTTGGGTTCGTTTGTTTATCCAAAATAGGATCTGGGTTTGATTTCTTTGATTGTTATTGATTGCTCATTGTGTTGTTTTCTTCGTGGTTTTGAAATGCTCATTTGTTTTCTCAGAATGCAAGCGTGTCTCATATATGTTTTTCATGCTTGTTTATTTGCGATCTATTTGTTTTTCTGTGACTTCGGCTCCGTTTTCTAGCTTTCCGATTTCCCGATATGGTGCTTTATACAAGTAGGCTAGGCCTTGTCATGTTTATCCTCTTTTGTATCGTGAGGATGGCAGCAACATCCGATTGGATCAGGTGTACCGGTTGGAAGCAGGGGGAGCCAACTTCCACAAACAAAACTATCTGCTGCAGTGGCTTCAAGGCAGCAACATCCGGGAACGGCACTGGTAAGGAAAGTGCTGCAGCTCTTAGAGGCTCTTTTGCCATTAATTCGCAGAATGCAAACCGGGGGTCTTGTCATGGCCTACGGGCCATGGCATCGTACAAAGTGGCGATACTTGGTGCCGGAGGAGGGATAGGTCAGCCATTGGCACTTCTCATCAAGATGTCCCCGCTAATTAGGCGTTGAACCTCTACGATATAGATAACGTCAAGGGAGTTGCTGCTGATCTCAGTCAACGCAACACTCCTCAAGTTCTGGATTTCACCGGTGCTTCTGAATTAGGGAATTGTTTGAAAGGTGCCGATGTGGTGGTTATCCCTGCCGGTGTTCCCCGAAAGCCGGGTATGACTCGCGATGACCTCTTCAACATCAATGCCTGCATTGTAAAGACTTTAGTTGAGGCTGTTGCCGATAACTGTCCCAATGCCTTAATCCTTATCATCAGCTATCGGATCAACTCCACAGTACCGATTGCTGCTGAAGTTCTGAAGCATAAGCGTGTTTATGATCCCAAGAAGCTTTTCGGTGTTACCACATTGGATGTTATCCGAGCAAAACATTCGTTGCTCAGAAGAAAAACCTTAAGCTCATTGATGTGGATGCGGGTATCACCATTTTACCACTGCTGTCAAAGACAAAACCTGCTGTTACCTTTATTGATGAAGAAGTGGAGCAACTAACCGTTCGGATTCAAAATGCCGGAACAGATGTTTTGGAGGCAAAGGCAGATGCAGGATCTGCCACCCTGTCCATGGCCTATGCAGCCGCAAGATTTGTCGAATCACATGCTCTAGATGGAGATGGAGACATCTATGAGGTGCTCATTCGTGCAGTCTGATCTGATCGATCTTCCATTCTTTGCATCTAGGATCAAGCTAGGAAGGAATGGGGTAGAAGCTTCAGTTCCGTCAGACCTTGTAGGGTTATCAGAGTATGAAGAGAAGGCTCTGGAAGCTCTTAAACCAGAAGTGAAGGCCAGCATTGAAAAGGTAATTGAATTTGTTCGAAAGCAACCGGTTACTGCTTAAAAACCCAAGTTTTTGACGCATCGAAACTCAGCTCGAGAGAGAACAATATCAGGAAACTATGTTGTGAAATTAACACTGCATCAGTAGTTCCAGTTTTGCAGAACGAAAGTTTTTTCAGTTTCTTCTTTCAAACAACATCACAGAATACCAAAACTTAAAATGGCATTTCGATGTTGTAGATGAAAAGAACATTAATCATATTTAAATAAATATTTGTAGAACTTTTGACAATATCAAATGGATGCTAAATTCAACTTTCTTTTTAATCTTTGGCAAGAGCAAACGACACTAAACAAAGACACAATACATGGCAGCGTTTGATAATTAAGTCAACATTCAAAATCTGTATAAAGTAGTTCAGAAACCTAACTAGAACATATTCGAATACAGATTCAAACTCCTATCCAAGAACAAGTGGCTTACTTTCTCGACTTACCACCGCGGCCTCGCGCACCGCCTTTTCCACCACGTCCACCACCCAATGCCCTGTTTGCATTGGGTTTCTTCATGTCATCCGGCAATGGAAGTATATGATCAACGCTCTTCCTAAAGCTGAAATCTTCGACGGTTTCATCCTCCCTAATGGCAAAAAAACATTTGCTTTTCCACACCGGATGGATTCGGATTTGAAATGCTTTGATCCCACCACCAATTTTTTTATCAGACTCCTCGTGACCTTTCTTAAGCAATTCCAGCATCACCATGTGTTCATACTGTGTAGTATAAAGTGAATTATCAAACATAATATTATCAGTGCTAACAGTTCCCATAAAGCATAGATCGTTTTATATAGATTCTAGTGAACAAAACATACTGCTTCGCCATTAAAGCAAAGAAGAAAACTGCAAAAGAACAAAGCTAAGATATTTTAATCACCTTGTTAAGGTTGAATTGAGTAGGCCAATAGTGAAGGAGATTGTAAAAGTAATCAAACATCTCCACAGACGATCCGAACTCCTTCGGGCCCAGACGGACCCGACCCGAGTCGGAGGGCTCCGACTTCTTGTCCTCTATGCTTTCTTCCTCCACGGACTTCTCCACCATCTGTTTCTTGGATGCCTTGTCGCTTCCTTCACCGTCTTCTTCTCTCCCGCGCTTCGATTTCGAGTCACCGTTGCTGACCCCCTTAGAACCGACGCCGTCATCGATGTTCTGCGCCGGCGGGGCAAGAGTTTCGGTATCCATGTCTTTCGTCGGTGGATTGGCCTCGGTGGGCGCTGCTGGTACCTCTTTCTCCACCATTGCAATACGCTAAAACCTTAATGTTTTGGCGGCAGGAGTAATTCAGTAGGAGAGACCGTTTTTTTTTGTGTGGCTTTTGCTTACTTCGGTTTTAAAAGGCGGTACCTTAATTAGGGTTTATCGTTGGAATAAACTAATATTTAAATGAGTAAACTACCCATATGGTCATCAAATTATTATCTTATTTATACTTTGGTCATCACACTATTTTTTATATTTCTTAGTCACCGAAATTACGTTTTTATTTTACTTTAAACATTTATAGTTGAGTTTTTATCATGCCGTCTGCTTCAGAGTGGTACAACCATGGAGAGAGTTTCATCATTGGTTCCACGTCTAGTGGAGTATGTAGCACGCAGTTAGAGGATGAATTTTGTCCATGTCGTCCGATAAGGTAATAAAGCAGCAAACTGTATGGCGAAGCTTGCTTGGGAGTGGTCGCATGGTTTAAAGGTGTTCAACTCTCCGTCGATGGAGGTGTAATACCCAAAATTTTAGTTAGTAACCAAATTACAATTTTTAAAAGTTTAGTGTCCAAAATATGAATTTATAAAAGTTTAAGGACCAAAATGTAATTTTTAAAAGTTATATGTTTTTGGTATGTAAATGAATATTTGTCTCAAAATAAATGTTTTAATGATAATGAAAATTTTGATTCGGGATTTACACAAAAAACTTTAAAGTAGTAAAGTTGGTAAGAAATCGGATAACCGGATCAAACTAAAATTTTGAAAAAATTTGAAGGATACAAGATAAAGCTTGAAAATATTTATTTTCATATTTTAGAACAGTAAAATTTAGGATTGATATGTGGAATTAAAGTTAATTTTCCTTATTTAGCTTAAATTGGGAAAATTTAGTGATTAAATTGTAATTTTTAAAAATTGTAAGGTCCAAGTAGAAAGTCAACTTTAAATTGGTTCATCTTTAATTATGAGATATTTTAATGGAAGATATTTGCAACGAAAATTGTTAATTATCATAATTCATTAATGACAATTTTGGAATTTCTCATAAACTAAATTTTATATTCAATTATATTAAAAGTTGCCAAGTGTTTTAAGTTATAATTATCAAGGAAAATAGATGACAAATCAGCTTCTTTTCTTCTTATTGCTGCCGTGAACTCCATAGCTCAAGAGATAAAGATTTTAAATTTATTTTTAGGCTTATTCGATTGATTTTTGGGTTTAGTTATTAGATAGAGAATTAATCCTATTGAAATTCTCTATCATTTGGTATGAAAATTCCATGGAAATCATGCTTGGATGATGGATTTCATGAATTGGGTGGTTTGAAGAACATGTTTGATTTTGAAGATTCGATAGAAGATTTTTATGTTACTGAAGTTGTTGAATAATTCTAAAGCATGAGTGATGATTAAAATCAAGTGTAGAAGCTTAAACCATGTTAGCCATGGTTAGGGTTTATTGAGATTGGTGGAATTTTGATTCAATTTGATGTTGCGATGATTGGAATAGGTTGAATTCGATGTAAAGAGGTTGAGTTTATGCTTGAAATTGAATAGAAAGTTTATCCTAACTACTTTGTGATTTCCGGCCATAAAGGGAAATATTGAGGAAAAATGTTGAAAAATCTCTTATGATCTAGAATTGATATTAAAAATGTTCTATGTGATTTGGAGATTGATTTGAATCAATTTGGAAGCTTAAAATAAAAAGGGCTACTTTACAAGTTTTGAGAATTGGGAGTTTTTATTATATAAATGTGTTAATTGAGGTGTTCAATGTTGAAATGCTGTAATTTTAAGTTAGATGAAGGATCATTACGAATTAAATGAAAAAATTGATATGAATTCTAAAAAGAATTCATAGTTAGAGTTTTGATTTTAGAAAATTGATAAAAGTTGAGGGTCAAATCACAAATATGGAAAACTTGGAAACTTAAGTGAAAATTTTATGTGGAGTTTTGATGAATTTAAAAAGAAAAAAAAGGACTTGAATGATCAATTATAAGTGTTAAGATCAATAATTATGTTGTGACATGGAATCTGTATCGAATGAGCATCGAAAGATTTTTAGGAATTTATTTTCTAATATGTGCATATGTTAGTAAGAAAGGAGAAGCTTACGAATGAAATGTGAATTTCTAAGGAAGATTGCAAGCTAAGGACACATGTGAGTGCTTATTTAATGTGTATTTATGTTATCGAATGAACATTGGTTTGCGTTGAGCCTATGATGGAATTTCTATGGTAAGAAGTGACTCCTAAATAGTATATGATTTGCGATTCATATATAAATGTTCATTTGATAAGTTAATATAATTATGGAATATCCTAAGGATATTGTGCATTCAGTTTTGTAGTTACGACTGCGTTCAGTTTTAGCAGTTATAACTACATTCAGTTTAAGCGGTTACGATTGCATATTGTGCACACACTCGTTCTGACTCTTACCTAATATTATCAATTGTGTATATTGGGCTATGAAAGTAAATGTGAAAGTTGTGAAAAGTATCTAAAAGAAAATAATATGAAAATGAAAGTTATGAAATATATACAAATGAAAAAGTATGGAATAGTTGTAATGTCTGATATTGATTTACATGATTTTAATAAAATCATGAAATGATGGTTTCCAGGTTCCCGAATAAGAAAAATGGCTTGTGTAGCCCGGTTTGGAAGTTTCATGATTTTATTTATATTTCATTTTTTTGTTTTTATGTAATTTTTGACATTCTATGTTATACCTCACCTTAGTTGTGTTACTGCCTCACTAAGTTATATTTAGCGCGTGATGATTTTTATGCGTAGGTTTGAACATAGAAAAGAACGTGAAGTGAGGAGCCTCTCAAGCATCTTTTCAGAAAAATCATACCTAATATCAGTATAAGTAAGACATATTACCTTTGACTTATCTAGTTGGCATGTATATTAATTTTGTGTGTCGTTGCTCTGATAAGTTTGGTTATAATTCGGGTTGTGTTATATAAATTAGTATACATAGTATGTATGCTATAAGCTATAGTTAATATTCATCGTGAAAAGAAATTATGAAATTATAATTATAATCCTATTGAAATGGATTTTTACATAGGTAATTTTATTTTAAATATGATTATGTGTCGAACTGTCAAATTACTGTCTGAAATCATATATGAGTTTAAGGTTACACTATTAAAATTTGAAGCTATGTGATTTATGAATGCTATGAAAAAGGGAAATAATGAATAAGTTTTCAAAAAAAATTAAATTTGACCCGATTGAGTTTAGCAAGTGATTAAAAGTTAATGTAACATCTTTAACTCATAATTGAATACATTTACGAGTTAAGGATGTTACAGGAGATTCTACCTATGGTTCGGGAAGAAAACTGGTGTGAGGAATAGTTGATTGTTTTGCTCTTACCATTCAAAATTATGTTTTATTAGTTAGACCACACATGACAAATATTCGGTGGGCCATTTAATTTGGAGACCAAATTCATTGAAATCAAACTCATGTAATAAATTAGGATAAAATTTATTTCTTGTTTTTTTATTTATAGAAAAAGTAATAATAGGGTTTTTTCCGTAACACTTTTCAAACATGATTGTCTTCTGACTATAGAGTGTTGTTTTATTAAGTCTCTCAACTATCAAAATTTAAAAAATAGTCACCTGATTATTCATTATTTTTCAAATTAATCTTTTTTCGTTAAAAAATTAACGATATTTTAGATAAATGTTAACTTGTTGACTGTAAAATGGTAAAATTTGAACCCGGAATCTCAAATGACTATCACATCCCAATCGTCATGTTAACGTCCAGCTCAGACAAGAGCTAATTTTTAAACGAAAAATGACAAGTTTAGAACTCAATGAATAGTCAGGTGACTATTTTGTAACTGCTGATAGTCGAGAGACTTAATAAAATAGTATCCTATAGTTAAGTGACCATTTGTGTACTTTACCCAATATAAATTTTCATATTATATAATTCATAAATTTTCAACCGTGATGTTTAACGTCCGTTACCGAAAACCGGTTAAGAAAAAACAATCAGGCGAGGAACTGTACGAGAATCAGGCAATAATAATAAAATAATACCTTAACGTTGGACGGACGTCACCGAGCCTAAACTCCAAAGCATCGTTTAAACCGAGCCTCCAAATACTAGTAAAATACTCAACTTTTCTCATTTGGTATGTATTTTAGTTTAATCCTTCTAACTTATATTACCTCATATATATAAAAAAGGGAGAAATGGAAGCTCTTCAATCATCGATTTGATCAGCTTCCAAGCAAAGAAACACATTGGGTTTTGCAAAGGAAAATCTGGGGTGGATTCTTCGTTGATTATAATATTGTGTTTTGATTTTTATTTGGTAAGCATTTCAGATTCACAAAACAACTGCAATTTTCTGGTATTTCTTTTTATAATACTGTGTTTTTTCTTTTAAATTAGTGGGTTTCTTCGGTTCTCTTTTATGATTGGGAATATTGTTTGGGTTGATTTAGAATTTTATTATGTTTGCGAACAATTGAATTTAAGTATATTTTGCAATTTCAACCTCATTTGTATTCTGACATTGTGGGTATTTTTTTGCTGCATTGTTGTATATCAAGGACCTCTCGTTTCAGATAGAGAATGAGTGATCATCTGGGTTTATGTATGGACCGGCTAGCAACACCCGATATTTCGCAACTGGTGCAAGAAGCCGAGGTTGCGGGATCTTCCGGTGAAGATTCTTCTATAGTTGTTAAGCCAGATGTTTGTGCTATTGGTGTTGAGGATGTGGAAGAACATGGTTCGTGTGATGAAGAAGAACCACTCATCCGGACGGTCGAATGCCGAATCTGCCAGGACGAGGATGGCATTGAAAATTTGGAGACACCTTGTTCATGCAATGGCAGTTTGAAGGTATTTGTTAATGTTGGGGAATTTTGTGACTTATAGCGTAACAACTTGATCATTAGATGGTTTCAGTTGCAGTCTTATATATTTATAGTTTTACTGATTTGTCTGACAATTTTTTATTGTGCAGTTTGCTCATAGGAAATGCATTCAGCGTTGGTGCAATGAGAAGGGAGATATAATTTGTGAGATATGCCATCAGGTACAACCCTGCTCCAGAAATGCTGCTGTCGTCGTCATTTCATATAGGATGATCAAATATGCTGTTTTTCTATAATCTTATTTTACACGTACCTATTTGCATAATTCATGAATATAAACAATTATTGGATTTCGTATTAGTTTTGTAAATTAACAAGGGTGTAAATTTGCATTTACAAACTTTTGAGTCACAGTACTCTGCTGCTTGTTATCAAATGCATTTGATAATTGATAGTGCTTTTTTAGTAGCCATTACTTGGTGACTTTTGTTGTCATGTGGTGTATCACATGGTATATCAAAATGTGTTCGACTTATCTGTATTTGTTGCAAGATTCATATAATATTTCTGTATTGTTAAAATTTTCTTCAGGACAACAAACACAATCATCGTTATCTCATTCATTGAAATGGTTTTGTATGAGTTGAATTACTAGGCCACTTTACTTATTCCTGAAAAAAAAAACATTCAATTTGCAGTCTTACGAACCGGGATATATTGTGCCACCTCCTCCTCCTCCTCAGCCTGAGGTTACTACAATTGATATCAGGCAAGTCTCACAACCATGCACTTACCAATTGATCATTGTAGATATGATAAGATCAGTGTCTCTCAGATTTTGTTAGCCTTTTTTTCCCAGTTTTGTTATCAATGTCGGTGTTGTAACTGTAATTGAAACTTTGATATTTTCTTGGACCCTTTCTTGTTTGTGAGGATCTATGTCCAAACCTTTTCGGTGATCTGAAGGATGGCTCACTATGGTATGCTAATCACCTTTGATCCCTTAGTTTCATGTGTTTTCTATTGATACAGTGAGTGGACAGTATCTGGTGCTTCGTTGGGTTACCAACAAATTTTAGCAGTGGCAGCAGAACGCCCTATTTTTGGGTAAGGCTATGATGAATATTCGGATAATGATTCTAGTGGAACTGAATTTTTCCGCTCCTCTTCCCTTACTGTAAGCTTCAGTTTCCTCTATAAAAATACAAAAAATTATCAATCCTATCTTGCTCTGACTCTTCATTTTGTTTGAATTATCCTAATCCAACACTTGTGTCCGACACGTATTTGGATATGATATTCCAAGGACCATCCAAACAGTTGAGAAACTTGGAAACAAATTGATGCTTAAACACAAGTCCCAAGTAACAGAGCCCGTTATTGGCTTATGTTAATTAAAATATTGGCGGTTGTATACTTTTATTTTCTTCACCATTTTTCTGCCAGCAGTACATCGAATATCAATGTTCGATCCATCTTGTGTGTTATGTGATGCATTATTCTATTGTACAGTTTGCCTCGTTTTTTTTTCTTTCGCACTGGCAGTGTACTGGTCACGAATGTCATTTCCACTCCTAATTAAGGTTATCGAATATCAAGTTGAGCCCTATATCCCGAATTACTGTTTTTGCATAGATGGAAAAGATACATAAATTTGGGTTTCACTTCAATGAAACATTTATTGGGTCAAGGAATCACTGCTAATATCCTTGTTCTTATTCTGTTTAGATCTTATTTTATCCGTTTATTTGCAGATACTTGCTCTTCTATTCTTGAGGCATGTTTTGTACCTAGCCAGTGGAGACACAGACGATGAATTATCTCAATATATCTCTGTATGCATGGCTCGAATTTGCATTGATCTTTTTTTAATTCACAACTTTTAATTGTTCGATTCTAACTTCTCTTTCTTTCTTTATTTTTTTCCATCTAGATTTCCCTCCGTGCTGCTGGCCTTCTTCTCCCCTGTTACATTGTGTCCAGGACTATCAGCATATTGCAGCGCCGTAGGGAGCAACAGGTAACAGCTCCGACTTTCTTGAAAATTGACAGCACTTAGTTGTGTCATGTTGATCTAGATCACAGGAGAATACTAAGAACTTAGATTCGTATTCGTTTTTCATGATATGTACTATGCATAATTGGTAAGGTTCGAGTCTTGTTAAGAACGTGTGTCCGGTACTAATCTGTTCAGTTTCTTCCAAGTTCTTTCATGTATTTAGAGTATCTTTGAAGGGCCACATCTCCACAACCACGGCTGAAGAGTCAAGTAACATAGCCGAAAAAGCATTCCATTGATGATATCTTCCGTCACTCGTAGTGCTAATCTTATCCGTGCAGCTTTCATAAGCAAAATGGATCGTACCATTTTTAGCTGATTCCAGTTATTTTAATGTGTAAGTCTCTTGAAAACTTTCTTTTGGCAATTGGTTTAACGGATTTTCTCTTTTAACGATTCAATCAGGAAGCCGCAGCTGTCGCAGCACCTGACGTTGCTGTAATGATTCAAGCAGCGCAACCTCGGGCCATACGTTACAGTGTAGCACCGGGACCTTCAGCGACACCACAACAGGAGCCACTTCAATAACACGACAGTCGTTTTCTCTGGAAATAAGCTTGATGGTGTTAGCTTGTTAATGTTGAATTGAGTAGGCCAATAGTGAAGCAAATTGTAGATATTATCAAACATCTCCATAGACGCCCCGAATCGGAGAGCTTCGACTTCTTTAGGTTTTCTTCCTCGACGGTCTTCTCCACCATATGTTTCATGGATAACTTTCGATTTCGTCGACACCTTCTCTCTAGCATTTCGATTTTGTGCCGTCTTTGACCCCTTTAGAATGACTGCCATCGGATTCTAGGAGGGATGGTTTTTGTGTTTTAGGTTTGGCATATGTACTATAATGAAATTATTATATCAATTGAAGAACAAAAATGATTTAAATACCAATTTGAAAAGGATACAAAAGTCAAGTAGTAAATGCATATTTAGACCTTCACGGGATCATGTATATTTCATACGTTTAATCTCTCTTATTCCGAAAATTAATTAAGGGGACAAAAGGGAAGCTTTGGAACAGTAACGTTTAACGACAGTAATAGGTCGAATTAAATGGAGTTTTTGGTTTATTTGAGATAAAGGACACAAATAGTATGGATTATAGAGTGTTGATTTGTTGAGTATTTTGACCATTAAAAGTTATAAAATAGTCCACTAATTATAGGGTGTTGCTTTATTGAGTATCTCGACCGTTAAAAGTTACAAAATGATCATTCAATTACTCATATGTTCAAAACTTATATTTTTTTGTTAAAATTGATGGTTGGCTGAGCTGGACGTTAACATGTTGACTGTGATATGATAGTCGTTTAAGATTCTAATATTAAATTTTATTATATCTCAGTCATCAAGTTAATGATCAACTTATATTGTCATCAATTTTTAACGAAAAACAACGAGTTTGGAATATATAAATGGTAGGGTGATCATTTTATAACTTTTAATAGTTGATGATTCAATAAAGCAATATCCTATAATCAAATATCGTTTATAACTTTTAATAGTCGAAGACTCAACAAAGTAATGTCTTATAGTTAGATGAATATTCTTGTCCTTTACCATTTTTTTAGGTAAAATAAAGATTCGACTAAAAAGTATATCAAAAAATATATTATATATCAATTATCTTTAAATATACAAAGATTAATTATGTTATTATTTACTGCTCGAGTTTCATTCTAAACTTAATCCGAGATTATCTTTAAAAAATCACAACTAAACTCAGACTCAAATTAGAAATAAAATCAAAATTTTAAAATCAAATCAAATTAAAACCTATTAAATTCGACTCAAATTAAAAGTAAAATCAAAAATTTAAAATCAAATCAAATTAAATCTATTAAATTCGAATCGAGTATTCGTCCAAACTAAAAAAAAATGTGACAAACTGTACAATAATAATAATAATAATAATAATAATAATAATAATAATAATAATAATAATAATAGTCTTCGTTTTGGCGTTACCGAGCCTAATGTCTAGAGCTTCGTTTAAACCGAGCCTCCGAATACTGGTAAAATAGTAAACTGGTTGATTAGTTTTACTGAATATATTTAATATATCAAAACGGGAAAGAAAAGTGAAAGCTTTCAATTATCGATTTTGATTAATTTCCAAGCAAGGAAACCCATTGGTCTTTCTTTACAAAGGAAAGTCTCCCGGGGTTGGAGTCTTCGTTATAGATATTTACAAAGAGGGAAGCTAAAAGAGCATATCAGATTCATACTCCCATTAGAAACTGATTTTTTTTTCTGGTAATTCTTTGTATCTTTTATGTTCTGAATTTGTTTGATTAATGGGTTTGTTCAATTCTGATCATGATTTTGGTATTTTTTTTAATCTTGGGAATTAGGTTGGATTGTTTGGTTATCCTGAAAAATGAAGGAAATAGTTTGGGTTTTCCCCCCAATTTCTGTGGGAGATTCAAAAAAGAAAATTTTGAAGATTTTGAGTAGAAGCAAGCAGTTGAATCTAGCATTAAATTTTATAGTCAGAGACTTGTTTGTTAGTTTTTGAAGTATGTTTTGCAGTCTACTTTCAGCTTCATATGTGTTTTCTGATTTTAATGGGAATTTTTGCTGCATTGTTGTGTGTTATCAGAACCCTTTCTGGCAAAAAATGAGTGATCGTCTCGTATTATGTGAGGACCGCCATACGAAACCCGAAAGTTTGCTATCAGTGCAAGAAGCCGAAGTTGTGGGATCTTCTGGTGATGATTCTTCTATAGTTGCTGATCAAGATGTTTGTGCTATTGATGTGGAGGAAGTTGAAGAATATGGTTCGTGTGATGAAAAAGAACCACTCCTCCAGACCGTTGAATGCCGTATCTGCCAGGATGAGGACAGCATTAAGAATTTGGAGGCACCTTGTTTGTGCAGTGGCAGTTTGAAGGTACTTATTTGTTTTGGGAAATTTTGATATTTATAGTGTACCAGCTTAATTACCATATGGTTTCGTCTTGGTGCGGTGGCTGACACATTTCTTATATCCAGTTTGCTCACAGGAAATGCGTTCAGCGCTGGTGTGACGAGAAGGGAGATATAATTTGTGAGATATGTCACCAGGTATACCCCTGCACTGGAAATGTTGCTGTCTTCGTCATTTCATCTAGGATGAACAAATTCCGGTGCTTTTTATGTTCGTATTTTACACGTGCCTATTTGCATAATTCATGAATATAAACAAGTGTTGGGATTTTTAAGGTTGTTTCTTTTTTCCTTTCTTTTTTGTTGACGAATCACTGGTTAGTTTTGTAAAGTTGCATTTACAAATATTTGAGCCACGGTTCTATGGTGCATGTTGGAAGATTCATATGATATCTCGGTGACTTTTGTTGTCCATGTGGTATATCTAATGTGTGATTGTCTATGTATTTGTCGGAAGATTCATATAATATCTCGATTTGGTTAAATTTTTCTTTCTGACAACAAACATAGTCATCATCTATCTCTTTGATTGAAATAGTTTAGTTTTTGTTGAGTTATTAGGCCACTTTACTAACTTCTTCCTCCAAAAAAAAATTAATTTGCAGTCTTACGAACCGGGATATATGTCACCACCTCCTCCTCCGCCAGATGTTGCTACAATTGATATCAGGCAAGTCTCACAAGTGTGCACGTAGTTACCCCTCATAGACATGAAAAAGATCAGTGTCGCTCAAACTATGTTAGCTTTTTCTTTCCTGGTTTGTTATCAATGTTGGTCCTGTTACTTCAATTTAAACTTTGATATTTCTTGGACCATTTCCTGTTTGCGAGGATCTATGTCAGAACCTGTTCAGTGATCTGTAGGTTGGGTTGCTATTTTATTTTAATCACCTTTGACCTCTGAATTTCCTTTTTTTTCGATACAGTGAGTGGGCAGTCTCTGGTGCTCCTTTGGACTTACACAACCAACGGATCTTAGCAGTGGCAGCAGAACGCCGTCTTTTGGAGCCAGGCTATGATGAATATTCCAATAACGATTCTAGTGGAACTGAATTTTTCCGTGCTGCTACCCTAACTGTATGCTTTTGTTTCCTCAATGAAAACAAAACACTATACTATGTTGCTTTGTCCCTTCATTTTGCTTGAAGTATACTTGTCCAACACTTGTGTCTGACATGGATTCAGATATAGCCCTCCAACGAACATACAAACATATAGAGAAAGTTAGAAAAGATTCGAACAAACCGATAATGGGTACATACCCGTATCCAACACTCAAACCTAAGCCCGAGTAAAATGGGTCGTTGGCTTATGTTAAGTAAAAATCTTGGTGATTCGGTACTTCCTTTTACTTATTCTACCAGTTTGTTGCACAAAATAGATCGAATATCAATGTCCAAGCCATCTTGTGTGCTATGCAATGCATTATCTATTGTATGGTTTGCCTGCATCCTCCCTCAGCATTGGCAGTGTTCTAGTCGTCAGCCTCATTTTGACTTGTGGTTAAGGTTATCGAGTTGAGCCTTAAATCTCAAATTATTGGTTTTTGCTTTGATGGAAAAGATAGTTGCAATTTTGCGTCTCACTAAACATTTCTCCAGTCCTTATTGTCACTGCTAATATCCTTGTTCTTATTCTGTTTATATCTTATTTTTATCTGTTTATTTGCAGCTTCTGGCTCTTCTATTCTTGAGGCATGCTTTGTACCTTACCAATGGAGACACGGATGATGATGTATCTCAATATATCTCTGTAAGCATGGCTTGAATTTGTGCTGATCATTTTTGTAATCCACAGTTTCTTAATTGTTTGATTCTAACTTTCTTTGTTGTTTTTTGTCATCTAGCTTTTCCTGCTTCGTGCTGCTGGCTTTCTTCTTCCCTGTTATGTTGTGGCCTGGGCTATCAGCATATTGCAGCGCCTTCGGGAGCAACGGGTAATGGTTCTGACTTTCTTGAAGAAATGACAGCACTGTTTTACTTGGTTGTGTCGAGGTTGATCTAGACCACAGAAGAAGAATACTGAAAATATATATTTGTATGTCTTTCCGAGATATTGACTCGGCATAGTCGTTAAGGTTCGAGTCTCATTAAAAATGCGCATCTAGTACAAGAATGTTCAACTTTTTCCAAGTTCGTTTATGTATTTAGAGGATCTCTTAAGAGTCATATCTCCGTCGTCCACGGCTGAATATTTTTCGGGTTTGATTACTTAAAAAGAAACTGAAGTGTCAAGTAACATAGCTCATGCCGTTTTAGCTGATTCAAGTTATTTTAGTTTGTATTTCACTTGAGAACTTTCTTTTGGTAATTAGTTTTGTGCATTTTCTTTTCTTTTTTTCCGATTCAATCAGGAAGCCGCAGCTATTGCAGCAGCCGATGTTGCAGCAATGATACAAGCAGCGCAACCTCAGGCCACATATTACAGTATAGTACCTGGACCTTCAGTCACACCCCAACAGGAGCCACTTGAATAAGTGACGATCTCTGGTGAGAAGCTTCGGTAGTGGAGAAGATTATGTAATTCGGACTCGACATAAATGTTGGATACAGGTATTTGTCCGGCATAGGTATATTCAATTTTCTTTTCTTAGAAGTTTTTCCATATATATGGAGGATCCTTTCTCCATATAGCGTCCGAATATGTATCGGACGCATATGTAGAATACATGTATTTTAGGGAAGATGAAGAATCCAACATGGGATTCTTCTTTTCCATATTTCAAGGATGAAATCTTCTTGAATCTCATTGCTTTACCTTTTCTTCTTGAGGAACATTGTCTACAGCTGGATAAATGATCATGATTTTGACTATGAATGGATAGTAAACGTAATGAATATTCGGCACGATCGGATTTGATTTTTACAGAATTGAGTACTGTGAATTACAATATACGCGGATTCGGTTTTCCTTTGTTAGATTCGGATTTGTGAATTTGAATCTTGAATCCTGGTCGAACCATAAACTTCAGCTGGTGCTGTATCAGACGGCGTAGTTATAATTTTCCCACCATTCTCTTTTATGGTTCCATTGGTGGTTCAACTAGAGAGGGTTTCAGGTACGAGAGTCATCAATGTTGCTCTGAGATGAGATCCGTTGCCTTTGTCGTCCTCGCTTGTTCGAAGCTCTCGCATTCTCGAGGCTGTTGTTACGGTGGAGTCTTTGCAGACCAGACAGGATTTGGGACCTGTGTCTCCTATGATGTTTGATCCCCATCGGTCAAATTAAAGGCAAGTTAAACTAGGATCAGATTCCGACTCCACTCACAAAAAAAAATCACTATAACGTTTGGTTGCGAGTTTTATCTTAAAAATTGAGCGGGGTTCTGGGTCAAGTAGAATCTCCTTAAACTCGAGCTGAGTCAGATGATAGATGAAGAGAAACATAATATTTAAGTCAAATTCGAGTGAACAAAAACTCATCTGGACTTAATTCATGTCAATCCTTAATTATACATGTGGGATATAATATTTTTTTTAAAAAAATCATTTATTTAAATGACAATATTCATATTTCTTTTAAATATGTGATAAATATTTATAAAAAAATAATATTTTTTTAAAATAGGAAATCAAGTATGGTTATTAATAAAACTTGACTTTTTTTTCTTCAAATAATAATAAAATAATTAAAGTCAATTTGAAACTTTTGGATTTATCCTTATATTATATGCTTTTTTCCCCTTGTAAAGTCCCACTTACCCCAAAATGGAGGCCACTATAAATTTAAAGGCTTTAGTGACCTTAAAGAAACTAGTAAAGGAAAAATAAAAATATATAAAAACAACAATTGGAGAGAACATGATTGGACACATGTGGGCCTTCTGAAACGTAAAATATATATTCCAAATGCTAAATTATTCCCAAGGATAAGGTTTTTTTTATTGTAATCTAGTTCCAAGGCTTTATCCTGATTAATCTGAATCGATTCGGGTCGCACACCTGATTTTGGTAGGTGAGTCTATCAGCGGGGATTTTCTGCATACACATACTCAAACCTGAGACATTAACTTAAACGATATCAAACCGCTTATCACTTGAACCAATCTCGTTGTCCCAAGATATCCTTTACCAAATATTATTATTATTATTATTATTATTATTATTATTATTATTATTATTATTATTATTATATGAAATAAAAGGCAAGGACAGAGACACTATATTTATAAAATTAGAATAGCCTGTTTCATTGTCGTAAAGCAAGAACATGTGAATTTACGAGAAAAATTATGAGTAAAGAATAAAATTTCATTATATCGACAATAACTATAAGAAAATATAATAAAACATTATTAAATCCTAAAATCTTAATCATATATAATAATTGTACACACAATAACTCTTATTTAATTAATCTACACCTTTTACACAACATATCTTTATTTTTATTTTTTAATTATTTCTTCATTAATCGAATTATTCTACTTGTTTACGATAATATAATTCAAGTTATTTAAATTTCCTCCTTTGATATTGATAATAAATTCCAAGTTGCAAAAGGAATTAAAAGAACAAAGGGTGTCATCACATTGAATCCAAAACATAACTTACAACAGACTGCCAGGACAGCTCATGCTTCATGAGCAAGATATATGTATATGATCACCATGAATGTCTCATGGTATTTTAAAATCGGGACCATGTGCATCATATTATATAGTTATATTTACAACACTTTCATGTGCATCTTCATGTTTCGGTTTTGTTTATCGTTAATATTTACAACACTCTTCAGGTTTATAATCGAGATAAACACAATACGATTAAATAAAATTGTTTTATTATTCGATGAAATGGATGAACGATAAATTAATAACTTACACCTTCAATCAACCAGATCTCAAGAGCACGATCCAAAACAATCTTTCAAACAACAATAATCGGCTAATCAATCCATATTCATAAATGGCTTTTTTACTCTATTTTTGCTGTTTCTTCAGCTATTGACCATATGAAGAATTAGGTATACTCACATGCCACCTCGGATTCCACTTCTCTTCTGTGGTAGTTCCGGTGGCAACCGCAAGCGGCGCACGTCAAAGCCCCGTTCGTCCCTTCCGCGTCGCTAGCCATGAACTCCCGACAGCCGTCTAATGCGTATCCTCCGATGTTCGCCGCGTGATTCTTCTGGCACTCCCCGTACCGCACATTCGTAATCATGGTCGACGAAGTGCTACAACTTCTTCTTCTACCACTTTTCAGTGCCACTTGACATTTCTTCATCCTCCCCTGGGAGCAAAAAAAATAACCCTAATTCCTCTTCGAAAATGGGTTTTCTTTTCTCATCCAACGCTAGAAGAGAGCTCCAAGAGAATGCAACCTCTCCTCGTTGAGCTGCACAATAAAGAAACGTAAAAAGTAGCTAGATTTATGGGGTTTGATGACTAACCCTAACCCTAGCACGTGCATATTTATAAGGCTCGATGACATTGCTTTAGTCCATGGAAAAAAGGGTTATCAATTATCATCGCTCCTTGTCACACCATTACTTTCATGGACTCTTTTATTTATTAGGTTAAATTATACATTTAATATTTAAATTATCAGTCTTGATCCGTTTCATTACTTAAGCTTTCAATTCACTAATAATTTATAATTTTACGTCGTGTCATAATTTAAATTCTGATTTTGTAGATAATATAAATTGAATAATAAAATATCTAGAAATTTAAAATTTTATTCTTATTTATCAAATCTATAGATTTCTAGACGTAACATAAGGAGTTAAATTAAATGAGATTTTCTTATTTTTTAAGATCGGTGTCATTAGCTATTTAAGTCTTGATGTTATTACAGCGAATCAAATTTTATTACATCATTATAAATAAAATAAAGTTACATGAATTTAATTTTTTTTATTAATATTGAGTAAATACATGACAGTATCTGTTCGATGATAACTTTCAGTCATTTGATATTTGACACTCACACTCCTAACATTCCTGGCGCTCGAACCCGAAACCTCAAGAAAAAAAACAACAATTCCTTTACTACTGAGTTTATTCGGTTCGTGCTAATTTTAGATTTTTGTATAATGTGTTTGGTATATAAAGTTGTGGTTTGAAAATCGAATTAATCAATGGTATAATAAATTATGTCATATATAGATGGAATTTTATTGGAGGGACAATTAAAGGTATGCTTCCAAGCTTGGAATGCAACGTGTAGTAGTATCATTCAAAGGAAGAATTAGACAAAAGCAAAATGGGAGTGGGTGGAGCAAAATCTTGTCCTTTGCACAACATTGGAAGTGACCTTGAATTCCCTTTTAGATATGATATTTCAACTGCCTTTGAAGATAATATGGAATTAATTTGGAACACTTAATATATATAATAATTGCGGATTTGGATTTGGATTTGGATTTGAATTTAGATTTGAAGATATTTTGATATTTTATTTTGGATTTCAAATTATTTTATATGTTTAAATTTAAATGTTGTAATCATAATAAATTGAGAATTTGGATTAAATATTTAATACAATATGATATTTTATTTAATTATGAACAAGCATATTTGACCGATTAATTATTTTAATTTTTTGGACGAAAGGGATTATGTCCCAAAATATTTTGGTAGGATAATATTTTAAGTTATTGTTTGTATTTTTTTTCTTTTCTTTTTGATAAATCTGGGTAAGTACAAAATAATATGTGTTCAATGTAATTCTTAACTATTTTACATTGAGTGCTCGTATCCCTGATATTTATTCATGATGCTCGAACCAAGAACCTCAAAGAATAGCATCAACTTCTTTAACGAAATCATTTAGTCAAATATTGGTGAAATAAAACTTTTATCTCTACTTATTTTTAAATTTAAATACGTAATAAATTATTTTATCTCCCGATATTTTATTCTAATTTTATCCATTACCCTTAATACAACCTCATTTATAAAAATATTTTTCATCCTCATAAATCTTAAATTTAAACCCTAAATTTTATTTTATTTTTAATTAATTTAAGATGACTACAAGTAGTAGTATATGTTCTAAAGACTCTCAATCATTTAACAATGAATGTTCAAATACCTTACCAGCACTAGTGTTCGAACACATAACTTCTATGAATAATAATCATCCCTAAACTTAATTTTTTTTATTAATATGGTGTAAGTACAAGATGGTATATGTTCAAAGATAACTCAACAATTTGACATTAAATGCTCAGACCCATGATATTCCTAATACTCGAACCTGAGAACTCAAGCAACAACAATAATTCTTTTATCACTGACGTCGCTCGATTCGTGCAACTTAAATTTTAAATCTGAAATAAAATAGTTATAATTTCGTTTATGGAATATTTTTTTTTTCATCATCAATGTGTAGATTAATACAAAAACGGATGGGAGGTAATGATCAAAATTAGTGATGGATTATTAGTCAAAGGAATGGGATGAAGACAATAGTGGGTCACATATGATGCCTTGGAAAGTAGCTCCCTGTGGCCCATTATAACTGTGGCAACAACTTCTGTCTAAGTACCTAAGATTCTAATAATTAACACAATTGCCAGCGAGCCAGCCCACCACCATGCATCAATCAACCACTCCCTTCTCATGTCCTATCAAACTCAATCATAATTTTTGTTCCACCCTAATTTTTATCTTATGTTTTTTTTCAAATAATTTGAGTGATTATAAAATATTATCTGTTTAGTATAGGTATAATATCAAAATTAGTTTATTACGTTTATCAAAATTTTCATTTTGTTTCTTGTACTACTTTTTTAGAG